CCGGAGATCGACGGCCGCGTCATGATCTGTATTTTCATCATTTTATGTAGTAGTTTATTTTTATTTTATGTTTTTCCGTTTTTGCCCTTATGGGTATTTGGTAGCTATTGTAGCCCAAGGGGCATTTTAGTCTTTTATTTTCTTTGTCATTTGGTGGCCTATATATATGGCCCTTTTCTCATGTAATAGGAAGTTTTTGAATGAAATGAAAATTTGCTCTTTGTTCTCTTTGTGAGTTCATGAAACCTCTAAAGATCTCTTTGTGAGTCCTTGAAGAGGAGACCGTCGGAGATCTCTTTGTGAGTTGTACCGGTGGATTGGTGTTGAGACCGTCGAAGATCTCTTTGTGAGTTCTACCGGTGGATTGGTGTTCAAGGTTTTTCATTTGAAATTTCTTTGTTTTTCTCCTCAATCTTTTCTTCCCCCACTTAGCCGAAATCCCCTTCTTTTTTTTTCTCAATTCCCCACCATCACCCAAGCTCCACCGTCGGCCTCCCTTGGCCGGCCCAGCCACCAGCGGCCTTCCCCGCAACCAAGCAGCCGGCCGTCCCTCCCTCCCGCTCCCACAGCCGCCCCATGTCTGCCCGCCAGTAGCCTGTTTCAAAATTTGAACTTAATGCAAAAACCTTAATTCCTTTCCTATTCTACATCCCCACCAATTAGGAAAGATGTCCTGTTGATTACTTCTCTTCTTGTAACGGTAAAATCCAACGTTACTAGAGGCATCAATCTATTTAGGAAACTTTCCTAGTAGAGCAAAGCTGAAAAAAAAAACAAATCTCAGATTTGTTGTTGTCCAAGCCCGTGGAATTTTCCAACGGATCCAATGGCTTGATACCACTTAGGAACTTTCCTAGTATAGCAAAGCTGAAGAATTAATTCTCAGATTTTATTATTCCGTGAGTTCTCTAGAGGGACCACATAATTAAATCTAATGGCTCTCACAGCTCACCTCTCTCCCCTCTCTCTCCCCTCTCTCTCCATTTAATTGCACCACTAATTGCAATTAATTTTCTTCCCAATTAATTCCCTAATTCAAACTTTGGGTTTGAATTAATTCCTGTTGGGATAAAATCTGAATTAATCTGAAATTAATTCAGATTTTAACCCAGAAATTAATGGGATTTTCACATTAATTCCCCCACGTCTCCTCAATAGAATCCCGTTTCAGAATTCTGATTTTTTTCCTTAAGTTTTCTCTCCTACCCGAGCTTCTCTCTGCCATTGGTTTGATTTTCTACAGCCAAGTCCCTCTAAGTTCACTACTCTGACATTATTTCAGATTAGGAAATATTTGCTTTTCCTCTTGGCTTCTCCACCGTAACCGACCCCCTCTCTTCTTGGAACCTCTTGTGGTGACCACTCATCTTCACCTCCATGTCGTATGGCGGACCCCGAATTTGAATGGAACTTGGATTCGTACATGACGATCGAGATCAAGTTGACATCCTCCAATCACCGTTCTTTGATGTGGGCTTTGATTTCGACGACACGATTGAAGATTACTGCGATCGTATCCATTATACCTTAGTGGATGTGATCGACGAGCAAAGATCAAAGGGACGTTGGATCATCCTTGGAAGACCGTCATCCTCCACAACTCCGGCCACCTATCCAAGAACGACGATCTTATGCTCCTTCTTCCTCGGAGTGGCCTCGGTTCTAATGTGGAGACTCTTCTTCCGCTAAAGCCTAGACTAGTTGAGCGTATGGGCTCCAAAGGTGAAAGTTCTCAGTATTAAATCGCGGATTCTTGTTTATCGTCGTAGTTTTACAATTGATCTTTGCATTTTCTTAAATTGTTTGGTTAACCGACTCCGCTCTTCTTTGCCTAAGCAAGTTAAAAACTAAGAATTCTCAGGATCAATCATTGTTATAAGTAATAAATTATTATGGGAACACTTTGTAATTTGCTCTCTTTAATTTCCTAAGTAACTCCGCCTTTGTTTCACATCACTCTCAAAGACTAAATTGGAATCAATTTTGTATAGTCAACTGATTAAATTGGGACCATATTGAATCAATAATCAAGGGACTAAAGGGGACAAATTTACTATTTTGGGATTAAATTGGCCACACAAATAGTCAGAGGACTATTTTAAAATTTAATTTTTGTTTGACAATATTAGGTCATTGGGAAATTGCATAGAATGATTACTAAATATACAATAATAACAACATATAAAAAAAAAGGTTTCCAAGAAATAATTAGAGTAAGGCTAAGAGGCAATAAAAGAGGGTGGATGCAAGTGGAGTAGGAAATTGTTAGAACTCCTGGCATGCATGTGAGAAAGATAAAGATATATTTAATATCACAAATAGTGATAAAATTTAAATTTTGAACTTCGATAGGACAAAAGATGATACAAGTTGATTAAAAGAAAAAAAAAAGTCAATTCAATTTTTTATATAAGTTGATCAAAAGACAAAAATAAGCCATCAATTAAATGAATTTTTTTTTAAGATTAATGATAATAGAAACAACATTAAAAATTAAATGCTGCTCAATAGAATAATTTGATTATTTTACAGAGTTTGATGAATGTCAAAGGGTACTGCTTTATTCTAAGAAGCACCTATGACAAACTTAAGCCTAAAAAGCGCCTAGAAAATTGATTTGTTGAATCCAACTTGTTCGAAAACAACACCAATACCTTACTAATAAAATTAGAAGGAAAATTAGAGAAAAATGGAGAAAGAAAAAGAATCTAGATTAAGGAGCTCTATTATTTCACTAGACTGCCAAAAAATAAAAAACTAATGCAAATGATTTGATGCATCTGGCTCATCTTCTAACCCTTTTTAATAAGCTTCGGTCAATGCACAATGCTACAAGAAACACTACATTTGAACAGTATAAGTAAAATTAAATGGCAAGAAACAATTGCCTGTTGTAAAATGCATATACTTAGCCAGCTGTAGCTTTCAAATTACATCGAGAACTCATTATTAATTGGTTTGGACACTTGCTACAGGTGTCATCAACCTGGACGCAGCAAAATATTGCCCTACATTGGTTCAAAAGACTTCTGGAGAGATGAGATCAAGTAAAACACTTTCACATCAGAGTTTTGGCAAACCGAAGATGATGGATCCATCAATTTCAACTCCAACACAAAATCAACCAAGGAAAAGTGTTCGACCTCGTGTTTATGCTTAGACCCAATAGGAGCCTAATGAATCAATAAATGTTAATAAAGATGGAAGAGATGACTTTAATATAGTAAATTTTCCTGTTATATTAGATATTTTGCATTATCCAGTTATCTTATTATGTTATATCGGATCTTTTATTCATACAAGTTATGTATTTAATATTAAAGTTTATGTTAAATGAAATTAAAGATGTAATTTTATTTATGTATCAAATATTTATATTCCAATTATCTCAATAACATTATACTATAACTAATAGTTATAAGAAATTTTGAAGACGAAATTTTATAAGGGGAGATTATTAGAACCGGTTTGGCCGGTTAAATTGAACCAACCCTAATACTGTAAAAGACAGACGATTAATACCCAGGCGAGCAAACAGCGAACTAAGCTGAGCAGACTGCACGCAAGCATGAGAGCATTTGGCGGGGTCGGACCACAAAATCGAGCAAGGAAATGCGTACGGGAGTGAAAAGTAGCAATTCCTCATGTATGATATCTTCGTTTCCCTTCCTCCAATTCAACAAATGAGTGAAAGAAATTGAGAAAGCAACAACCAAGTGGAAGAAGAAGAAGAAGAAAAGAAATAGAGAGAAAGTGGAAGGGAGACCAAGAGGGTGAGAGCCAAAATGAGGAAGAAGAAATTCGTGTGCGTGTGAGTTAGGGCTAGGGAAGGCTGAGAAGGTAAGTACTCATGCTTCTATTTTATAGTAATGATTTGTCTTCTTTAATTCAAGTTCATTGAATTTAATTTCAATTCATTGAATTAATTGATATAAGGTAGTTAATGATTATTGTAAAATTCCAGGATTTCTTGTTTTTGAATGGTCATATTAAATTGTTTGATAGTTAGCATGATTAGTCAGAATATGCACTTCAAAAAGTTATTGAATGAAAAATGAATGAAATGATTATATATAAATGCATGTGCATATTGATTGATAGAACACACTTCTTTATGGCACTGGTTAGGGACACAATATACTTGTGCACGTAAATATAAAAGATAATGAAAAAGGAAAATGAAATGAAAATGGAAAATGAGTACCTTCATTGGTATTATTTTAGATGGTGGCTCTTGTAACGGTTGTATTAGATATAAGAAAGAATAAAGATGGGGACAAAGATATGACATGCATAACATTGAAAGCCTTAAAATGAATAATTAAATAAAATTACTTTACATTTTCAAATGATTATACATATTGTTCCTAATGCCTTTGGATTACTATAATTTAGAAGCACAGTTTACTCACTGAGTTATTTTAAGACTTGCCCTTTTTGTTGAAAATATTTTTCAGATATTATTTCACTAATTAAGATATGTAGAAGAGGTGCAAGTGTGTACTGTAGGCGAGACGCTCCGAATGAAAAGTATTTATATAATTTTATTTCAAATTATCTTGAGGTTTTAATGACTCTTGCAGTTTATGGGAGATAAATTTAGCAAATAAAAATTTAATCAACCATCCAACCATATGTTACAGCCTTATTAATTTGATCCATCGGGCCGGGTCTTAATAATTATATTTAAAAGCAAATATTACATACTAACATTTGTAACAGACAATAGTATTCATAAGTATTATTCACATTATAATGTTTAAGCTAAAATAAGTTGATTTCCCTGGATGGTGTATGGAAAATGGGCGACAACACCCAAATGCGTTTTCCTAAATTCTAGGAAGGACCCTTTGCATTTGAAAACAGGAAAACAAATCATCTAGGCCAAAGTGTTTTTCTGCACCAGCATTTTGATTTCATGAACAGAAAGCCAAACATAAAAGTGCTTCCATACATAGCTTAAGAAACATGATGCAATGTTGAAGGAAAGCTCAACTTACGAATTACAAGTAGTCTGAAGATCTTGGATAGAAAGACTAGATGCATTTTGGGAAGCAGTTTGATGCTTCTGAACAACAGCCCCGAGTTGACTGACCTGTACATAATGATTGAATTGAAAATAACAGACATTAACAGTACGATTAAAAACAACACTAAAATGCCTTTCCAAGCACAATAGGAATGATAACAGTTTTGACGCATATCTGATGTATCAACCAGGAAAGTTGTACCTGATGCATTATCAATCTTCGAGGGATTAGTTCCTCGTGCCTTCTGGCACAAAACTCCCACGAAGATATCTAAATTTTTAAATTTAAAAGGAGTTACAAAGAAATAATCGCTTTTAGCATGAAAAACTGCAAATCACAATATTTAATGCTTCTTGTAATACCTTCAGATCCGGATTGAAAACAATTCTTAATTGTCCTTCACGCACAACACGCAATTGTTCAAATACGCTCTCTTGAACTGCTTTAGCATAGTCCAGTAGAATCTGGCCTGATGTAGTGTGAGACTCTCGAGGCATATCAACATAAAGAAGCTCCTCCAAAGTGCCACTGGCATATTTAATTTGTAATAGCCTTGGTAAAACCTCAACAGTTGCTTCTGAAAATAAATCATAATACAGAAAAAATATATAAACAAAAGGTACAAGAAAAACACCATAGCTAATCAATTAGCTTTGTGGATGAGGGGTTAAAATATCATGAAAACATATTCATAACTCAATGGAATACATACCAAAACCACGTCCAGGCTTCCGCCTGCAAATTTCACAATGCCACACATCCTGAAAATAAAATTTATAACTTTGATTGAACACATGCTACAATGCTTTTGATTAACTGAAAATGAACTGTCTGTTAGAATGCACTGAATAAATTAAATGGCTACAATTGAAAATTTCTTTCCTGCTTTACTTTAATATATAAATAAAAGAATAACATATCAAATTTTTAATTTGCATGGAGATCAATCAGTAGAACTTCCTATAATCCACATGTGCCGCCTATATGGAGGCAACAAGCATGTGAAACAGCCCATCCATCTATTTTAGAAATGATAACTTCATTTCATGCAGCAGCAAAACAACATTACCAATGAAAACTCAGCATGACAAATAATTTTAAGTCAGACTGTATCTGGAAACTGAAAGTCAAAAATTTTTACAATATCCAGCCATGCCAGCTTTTCTTTTTTTATTAAAGAGGCCAATCTTCTTCATCAGATGCTCATTAGGAACATATTAGAATTAGGTATACCTGTGGAAAAACTCCAATAGTCTGCCGACCACTTCCATACAGGGAAACACACCATCTCTTCTTAGCATTGGAAGCAAAGAATTCAGCAACGAACTTCCTCCAAAAATCAATGTTATTATCCTGGATTCAATAGTAAGGATGCATTAAATGCTAAGCAGGATATATCATCAGCATCAATAGTCTTATCACAACAAGTGGGGCTGGCATTACAGGTCTTCATTCTCCATGCATGTTTGTTGAGTGTTACAAAGTGTTCAAAGTTAAAACTAATGTACACCAATCTATAAGTATGTGAAAGAGCAAATACACGATAATTTTCCTCCAAAACAATATTATCAAGGCTAAAAAGCAGTGCAACTATAGATCAACCATTTAAACTCCACTCTTAAAATTATAAACAGATTAAAAAAACAGCTTATAACTGATAACAGAAGCATACTTCTGGTCTGTGCTGCTGGCTATACATGTATTGGGTCAACCGTCTTGCACACATTCCGGGCTCATATATGGTTTGTTTCATTTGTGGTCTAATTGGAACACCATGCTGAAGCTGTTGTTGTAGTTGGATTCGTTGTGGAAGCGTCTTAAAAAGCTGATGTTGTTGTTGTTTCTGTTGTTGTATTAGCAACATCCTCTGCTGTTGCAAGAAACTCATCTGTGCAGCAGCAGAAGCATGTGGAGCAGACCTTGACATTTGCAACAACTGCTGCTGAGCATTTTGCTGCTGATGTTGTTGCAGGAACAATGAAGAATCTGTTTGTTGATGCTCCATCTTAGCTGGGCCTAAACTTCTCACAGACTGCAGCTGCAAAGGTTCCATTTTCACAGAACCAATACCTCGTATGGAAGGCAACTGTTGTCCAGGGAAGCTCTGATCACTTGAACCCGTTTGCTCTTCCAATTTAACTGGATCCACGCCACCAACATTTCCAAGCCCTCCTCTATGTTGCTGCCGCTGTTGGTTGTGAGGAACTGAGACCTGCTGCTGGAAATTCTGCATTGCATCAAGTTGTTGAGTTTGAGAATGAGAATGATCAGCAATCGTCTGCTTCCCAGAAGGATTTTGCAAATGCTGTCCATGTAGTGAACCAGATGGTGAAGGAAAGGAGATAGGATCGGACTCTGTAGAACCAAGCATATCAAGAGAGTTGCCGCCCATACCCCCCCGCTGCTGAGAATTCATCTGCGGGGTTGAAATCACACCTCCAGAAGCAGGAAATGCATTTCCAAAAGAATGGTTGAGGAGAGATGAGGCATTTGTGATGCCGCCTAGAAAAGTCATATTGGTACCATTGGCACCGCCATTCAGTTGTGCCCGAGGGGAAATCAAGGAAGAGAAAGTCTGCTGAGGAGAAATGGAGCCTGGCTGAACACTTCCTAGCGAGCCAGAATTTGCCCGCAAAAGGGAGGAAACAACAGACTGGGCACCGCTAGCTCCGGTTGGTGGTCCAGAGGGAACCATTGTTTTTCCAGAATGCAAGCACCGGCAAAAAAGGAGCAGTTCAAAGAGCTAGCTTGGGCCGTCAAGGCAAAAACAAGTGTTGTCAAATCTATTCGTGCCAAGCAAATCGTCTACAGTTTCACCTTTCTCCTCAAATACATTGGCATTGCCAGGAAAACCAATAAAGAGCAGAAATAACGAAAATTATGATTTCCAGCATGCCTTTTCCAGATCATATCAAAAGAGTCCTCCGTCCTCCAAAAGCGCTTCCTTATAACCACGTCCTAGCACATTTTTCGATCTCCAAACAACAGAATGAATCGAATATCCAATACCAAAAGGAACGCTATAAAAATTAGACACGGAAAGTGCGAAGAACATAAGGGATAATAATCAAATCTTCCTGCCATAAGTCGATGCCCAGCAGCCGAAGCAACCAGAAGAATCGATCATCCCCACTTACTCCAGATCAGACTCTGTAATCACAACTACCAATAATCTTAGTTCTTTATTAACATAAAGAAACAAGCGCCGCAAGTAAACAATCCTGAAACAAAAACCAGGAAAATATAAGAATCCAAGGATCAGAATGTCGGCGCTTCTTAACCTCGAGCAGAAAACAAGAAGTTTATTCCCGAACAGTACCTGCTCTCCGCGGCCACTGCTTCACTAAATTTATCATAATAGGACATTAGGGTTTCCTCCACATCGAATCCCCGGCACGCCGTCTCTCTCTCTCTCTCTCTATGTAATCCCAACGTGGAAAAAGAATAGTTCTTACGGACTTCAAAAACCCATGAAATACGATTAAATCCCTGCCAAATATTTATACTTCATACTATTTCAGTCCTCGCATGCTCTCACTCTCCCGGTAATTGACCGCCTTCATGAGTCTGAATCAGCCACTTGTCCGCTCATTACATGAATTTTTAGGTAGTTTATTGGAGCCTTCAGTGAATTGCTCCCCCCTTAAAAAAATAAAATATTATTATCTCTAGTGATTATATCCTTTTCTTTTTTTTGAATAATTCTCATTATATAATATATTGATAATATTTTAAAAATTTATTATGTATTCAAATACAAAGAATTATTTGTCAATAAAATGATATATATTTATTTATTTATTTTTATTATTATTATAAGTTTGTCCCCTCCTAAAAATTAAGACAGGTTCCGCCCTTAATTCCACTGATGCCTATGCTTGAAAACTCTCAGTTGCGGCGCTCCTATCTGGTTTCGTTTGATTTTTTGGTATTTTTGTTAAAAACAATTTTAAAAAACATTGATTCATAAAAATGGAGTTTTTTAATGGAGAAGCGTATATAAAAAGCTTTCTCAAAACAGCAGAAAAATGAAACAAAATGAGTTATTGGGAACTTGATTTGACGAACCAAACATTAAAGAAGAAATGAATTTGTAGTTTTAAAACGGGATAAGCACCAAAAACTTCCAATCAAATGAAGCCATAAACTCTCGGCAGTGGCACTAGTATCTAATTTCATGAAGCTCAAGATAAGAAAAAAGCATAAAAATTGTACGATAGTTGCACAAATAAGCAGCACCAAGTCAAAGAAAATACATTCAAGAATCTAATGATGGTGGCAAAGAGTCAAAGAACATGCCAAGCAAGTTCTAACGAGCATCTGATGAGATCCATTCGTTGCTTTGCTTGTAAGTTCCACCCTAATTGGCCTATTAATTCCCTTGCATAAAACCTAACATGTAATTTCTCATATTGGCTTGCTTAGGGGTATGTCTCTAAAAGAATATTCTCTCCCTTGGGAGTATTCTCTTTTGGGATCTTATAGAGAACTAAAGCTAGAAGATAATAAGAAAGCATATTTAAATATATATAGTTCATAGATGTTGAAAGCCAAATTTATTGTGGTGGAGCCTGACCACCTTACTTTCTTACTAACCTTGGATTATATTTATTTTTCTAAATAAATGAATAAAATATTTTTTATGCATTTGCTTCATACATCATCATACATGAAGATAGCTAGATCTATTTGCATATTTTGTATAGTCCCGATTTAAATCTCTGAATTAAAATCTTTGACTCTGTAAGATAGAGTTATATTATCTTGCATGCATAAGGCATTAATTGATTTTCAGGATGTTAGATAATTATCCACTCCAGACAGACATAAGTCCAAATTATACACCACATAGTATGTCTTCTCTAATTCTTGATAAATTTTAAATCTATAATTTCACCTAAAATAGTAAATCAATCTTTAATCTTATAAACTCAAATTTTTTATCAATTCCTTATACATTTAAGATGTATAATTCTAACTTTAATCAAGTGCCTATCTCGCTTGGCTTAGAAGAACCTAGGAATTTCACGATACACCTAACTAAAAAGAGAATAAAATAGCATTTATAATCAAGAGTATTCTTAGAAAAAAGCCTAGATGTAATTAATTATAGGGCTTGCACCCGTAAAATACCGATACACACATCAAATAAATCTCACTCGAGCTGGTGTATTGAATGAGAGAAATCTTGTAACTATTGAATTATATAAATTATTATCCATCAAAATATACAGGTGAAAGTCACTATTTTTAATGGATAATCATATGTATAATTTCATCTACTCTTTCATTGGCATGCTTGCGCATAATGTAAAGGTCTACAACCATTTTGTCATACATGATAGTGCAATCGTTCTCTTTGCATTCTAACCACTATTGTAGTTTTTCATTTGGAGACCCACAATACATTCTTTTGTCAGTCATAAGTGCAGTTATGCTTTATTGAAAGGAAACTAAAAACCTGATTAATGCATATTATTCTTTTAAAACTTTGTTTGATGAATACAAAAGGAAATATATGTTTCATTTATGTGTTTATTGGACATCATAGAATGGCTTTGCATTATTTATTGAGGACAATGTAAAGTAGAAAAAGAATTCTTCGTATTATATCTTGGGAATTAATAGGTTCACTGTCTTGACTTAATATGATAAGACATGTTCTCGTGATCCAAGTTGTATTGGCCCGGGTTATAATAACCCTCCTCTTTGAGTGGTCAAATCCAAGGACTCCTCATTATCCTTGGAGAAGATGAGCTTATCCTTGATGAGGAGGATGTGGTTAATTGGTTAGCATTGCACGCCCGATCCATAATTTCAAAAAGATAAACTTGGGTTTTAAATCCCTCTTCTTATTTGGCAATAATGTACTCATCCTCATGTGGATTAAAGATGATTGAATGATACCATCTTTAAATTCTTTCATAGTGAATATATGGATGAATAGCATGAGGCTTCACCTAATCTTCTCTCACTACTAGTGGGAGAGGAATGTTACTACACTCCCTATAAAGTGTAGCATGGTTTGTATAAGCACAAGCCCATTAAAAATATGGACCTTGGTGAGGTCAATATATAGATGAAGTCACAAGCCAATTTTTACATGCTTGTATGAGGAACATAACTCATCCTTATATAATATTTTAGGAACTTTTCTTTCTAAGAAACTCATATAATGAGACTGAAATTCGTATATCAATAATTAAAGATCTTATCATTGTGTAGCTCTATCACTAGCAAGTCATGGTAGTACTGGATCTCAAGAAAGGCCTTATGGCAACCATCTCATAAGGGGGCACTCGCAATAGTGAAAGCAAAGGAGAAATTAAGATGAGAGAGAATATCACCAAATAAATGAAGAATGCATGCCCAAGCTAAAAGGCATGGGTATTTATAGGAAAAGTAGAGACTCAAATTTAAGGCACAAGTCACATCTATAATTAATAAGCATGAACTTGCCTTTCGCCCTCTTCAACATGAAAAGAGTAACTCATGGATAGCTTAGTAACCTAATGAAGAGTCACCCTAAGATAATTAGTGAAAAAATCTCTCTCAACTATAATGAAGAGTTACTTTTAAGCATATAATAAAAAGTTGCCACATGTAAACAAAATAGCTATTACCACAAATAAATGATAAAAATGTAAGCGGCAAACATAAATGATGAGGATATATAACATAACAACTTTTATTGCTTTTGCACCAATATATCTTGCAAGCCTTATTACATATAGGTGAGTACATATCACTCACATCTTAGAAATAGCTTGTATACAAGGTCTAAAGTAAGTTGGAGGACACTACACCCCTTTCCACAAAATGACACATTATGAATCAATTTCCAACAAGAATTTGATTTGAATGTGACAAATCCAAAAGCTTGCAAGTTATCAACACCTCAATCCTTCAAGTCTAGCATCTCCTTGTAGAACACAATAATCTTACCACTAGCAACATAGGAACTAGCCTTCTCCAAGACCTCTACCTTCATATTCCCTTCCTTGAACTTGGCCTTGCCTCGCATAAGATCCTCCTCTAAGACCTAGTTTCACCTCAAATGAAAATGGAACAAATATAAGGATCTCAATATATTGGTGACTAGGAGAAGGGGAAAGATTGCGAGCCATTGAAAGTGGAAAAGGGGAAGAAATATGGAGTTTCTAAGCTAGTGAATTCATCATCCTCTCCTTTGTGTGCTTGCCTCCACGAGCACGACTACCTTCATTGTAGAATGCGCTCTTAAGGAAATTCATATACTAGTCAACTATTTCCTACACCTTTAGAGTCGCCCTTATCATATGAAGTGAATGATTAAGAAGATGTAATTCGCTATCCAAAAAGTAAATGAGAACCTTGAACAACCAATCATGGAGATCCAAGTTTAGAATAAAAGTTAGGAACCCATTAAGTAAGAGCTAATGCCTCAAACTCGCTTGGCGGATGACCTACAAACTTGTTTATAGTTAGATAGATCAAAATCTTGCTAGAGATACATGATATAGGACCCTTAGACTTAAATTCTGAAAAAAAAAAAAAAAAAAAAAAAAGGAATCCTTCTTACCTTTATTAGCCACTCATTAGTGCTTAACCTTCTTTAGCATTCATGACTACTTAACTGTTCCACATGAGAATGTGGCAAAACTATTGTGTTGGTTTTCTTTTTAGTAGGGATCACCACCTCATGTGTGGTACTAACCACAACAAAGATCAAGTGAGCTCCCTTTAATGTTGACACTCATTTATTATGCCTCACTAAAAGAGGCACATCATTTGAAACATAAGAAGATGCTAATCATACCACACTCAATCCAATGACCACCATCTTTTTCTTCTTTGTTTTAATGACCTAGATAGAATTCTACCATTCTCCCTCCACTGCTTTGCATTTGCAAAGGAAGATCTCTGGAGTTTCAAACTATCCACATTGGCATATTTCACAGGATTTGACTCACCTATCTCTTGTGCGAGCTAAACGAACTAAACCAAAGCAAATGAATGAGGATGTGTGGTCTTATATTTATCAATTTCTTTCACCACTATTATGGCCAAAGATAGCTCAGATGTCTAATAAATGTCATCATGAGGATCTTAAAAAAAAAAAAAAGACATCTTCTTGAGACAATAGTAAAAAAAAAATACATCTTCTTGACTCACCTATCTTCTTGAGGCAATTTTTATTTATTTCATCCTTATCATTTGATTGGGATATCAAATACTTTATTTCATAATTCCCTTATCCTTTTCATAAGTCGCTCTTTAAAGGAGAAATGAAATAAAATAAATAAATATATGTTCATACATGCCTATGTAAATAACTCATAGGTACCAAATAGATTCACCCCCGAGGAGCTCGATTAAGAGGAACACTAGCTCGAAATGAGTCCCACCTAAAGGTTCATTCATTAAAAGAATGTTAAAGACATACATGTTGTG